TTGGATTATTGTTTATTTTAATAGCTACTTTTCCATTACTTTCAATTACTTCATCTAAAATAAAAAACGAAAGGAGATGGAAGTACTTTTATTTTGAATCTTAAGCATCATTTTGGGCCTTATAATTTAAGCCTTTTTAAATTTACAAAGTCTTACTTTATATTTTAATTATTGTAAAATTAATCAACTATCCAGAAGCATAATCTATTTTACTATCAATGCAATCATTCTTATTTTTAATATATTTGATTAAATTCAAGCCCTTGAAATCAGTTTTTGAACTTTCAAAATTAATATGTCGAGAATTGTTATTTTTGATAATAACCGGGTCATTTTTATGTTATAGTTTTGAATTAAGTTAATAAATTGATATAATGGTTGGGTGGATCCATATAGGTATGTTTTGTACTATTTTGGCTTCTAATTTATTAATAGACCTACTATAATAAATTATGAAAATATATGAAAATTATTTGTAAAAGAAAGAAAAGGAGAAGATTGAATAAGAAAGAAAATATTATTTTAACCATTTACAAGGATTTTAAGTAAATTCCAAAGATTATTCAATAAAATAATGATAATTTCATTTAATATTAGGAATATATATATAATTTTTAGAACCCAATATTTATCAAGTTTTTAAGCTGATAAATAGTCTTTGTTTTTTCTAAATAATTTTTTATAGTCCTGTAAGAAATCTAATTAATATAAAAATTAGAATAAGTAAGTAACTAACAAATTAGAATATCAAGGGCAACTTTGTACTCTTAAGGGTTCTTTTAAACATTATGGACCCTAAAGAATTCTTGTAAATCTATTTATTTAAAGGATCTAAAAAGGTTAACATTTTTGCGATGGAAAAATGATGTTATGATCTTAAGTTTATGGTATGTAACATCTATTCATTACCATATTGTTAATTAATTTAGTTGATCAGTTTATGTTTATGTAATCTGCATTCTCTATTTCTATTAAAATTAATATTACAATATATAAGAATAATTTTTGATTTAATTCAATTACTTTATTAACTAACATAATATTGACTTAAAAACCTACAACATACTAGTTATTTGATAAAGAAAGTCTAGTTTGATAAGATAATCACACAAGTTACCAGTTTTCAGATTAAACAAATACCAAAAAAAGTTGTATATTTTATGGAACAGAATAATTGTGCTTATTATATAGTTTATGGTTTTGTTATTAGATTCAGAATAATTCAATTTGATCAACAAGTATTAATTTTAAAAGAGAGCAATTCAAATCATGATCATTACTCATTTTAATAATTTAGTCTAAGACAAAAATAGATTTGAGCCTAATTTATCCTCTCTTAATTTAAATATGTCTGAACCATTTTAAATGATTGTAAGAATTAATAAAAGAAGGATCTAGAGTATCGAATAAGAAAGATAAAATAATAAATAAAAATTAAAATCATTTAGCATCTATTTCATAAATCAAAAATCTTTATCTAGATTATCAAAAAGCTTTTATACCTTATAACCATATGCTTAATAAAATAATTTATTTCATTTTATTAAATATTTTAAACAAATCTAGGCTTTATGAGTATAAGATCTCAAATATTTACACTGAGTTTACTTTTTTTATAGTTGGGATTTCTCCTGTAAAATATAACAACATCTAAATACTTCTCTTAATTTTATTCATTCTTTATCAAATGATAATATATATTTATTATTTTCACATGAAACTAAACTAATTCAATATAATTTAATCTATTTGGAAATATTTTAAGCTTATTTAATGAATCCTATTATAATCAAATCAATTTTGATCATCTTATTACCAAGAATATTAACTTTCAAAAATGATCTAAATTTCGGCTTTTAGATTTAAGAAATAATTTATAGGTGATAGAAATTATTTTTGGTTATCATTTAAATGAATGTTCAGCAAATCCAGGTATTTTATTAAAAAAATGTTTTAGAAGGCTAAAATTTTATACTATTTAAAATAAATTAATAAAAATCATTTAAAGTAATATTTTTTTTATTTTTTAATTCTATTCGAAATTAATTAAAGAAGAATTAAAAAATTGTATTTAGATGCTAAGAATCTCTATTTTTAATATTCAATAAAAATAAAAGTTTTACTTTTCAGACTAGAATAAAGAAGAAAAAGAACTAACATATATTTTGAATTAATTAATCAAATCAAAATTCCATATATAATTTACAAAAGGGTTTTTTTTCAGAGCAATAATGAAATTTAATAAACTACTGCAAAATTAGAGAATGTATTATATTAGAAGTCTTTAAATAATATATACATTTAAATCCAATAATAATAACTGAATTGTAATACGAGAAGCTAGGAGAAGAATTTAAGATGATAGAATTGAAAATTAAAATAAATTGAATAATATGTTTTAATTGAGATTCTATATTATTTACTAGGAAATCTCTAGAAATTTAACTCGAAATGCAGAAGCCTCGTTGAATGAAAACATAAATAAAAATGATATGCATCATAATTCTTATTATTATTATTCTCCGATTTCAATTTCTTTATAATCTTATTCTAAAGATTTGAGTTGTTCTCTAACATATTGAAATTATTCCTCTTCTATTCCTTCTAAAGCATACTAATCGACAAACATTTTTTTAGAAAACATTTTATCAAATTAATTATTTAATTATGAAAACACTTACTGTATTGAAGCAGAATTAGCTATCATGAAAGCTGACTTTCTTTATTTACCCAAATCTCCATTTGGAAATATACATGGAATCACTTTGTTTAGACAAAATGTGACTGATCTTGGACACCAGTCTACAAATTAAACTGTCTTTTTTTATTGTAATGTAGATGTTGCTCCACCAATCTCACTCATACTTACATCTCCTCTAAAAAATACAGAGCATGCCATATATTTTCCATATCTAGGATCGCATAGAGCTAACATATTACTAGGCTCAAAGATTTCATTTAAGAGCTCTGCAGTATGAAGTTATTCTATTTTAGACTTATCAATAGTTATAAATGGTGCATAAGAGCACAACAAAAAGTGAGTTGGTAGATAAGGGACAAGTTTACGCTGAAAATCATCAATTTTTGTAAAATGATATCCTCCCATTCTTATAGGACAAGTAAATGATGATATGGCTTAAGCTATTAACCTATTTAAATTTGAATAATTTGGCTTTTCAATATCTAATTATCTTCTACAGATGTCAAATATTGCTTAGTTATCAAGAACTGAACATACATCAGTGTGTTCTAATAAAGAATTCATAGTCAACATATAATTATATGGTTCATAAGTATTTTCAGATTATATTCGAGATGGGAAAATAGAAAACCCTACTACTGGTTTTTTTGGATAATTCATTGATATTTACTCCAATAATAAAGATCCAAATCCTGAGCCAGTGCCTCCTCCAACTGAATGAAAAAAAAAAAATCCTTAAAGATCAGAACAATCAATTGTAAACTTTCTTATTCTGTCCATGCATTTTTCAATTATTTCTCCTTCTTATTTATAAAATCCTTTTGCAAAAATTTTTGAACAATCTTATTAATCAACAATAAAATTATCAGGATGGAATAACTCTCTATATTAACTATTTTAAATTTCATTGATTGCATCTGGTTGAAAGTCTATAAATAATGACCTTGGCATCAATTTTTCATATTATTTATCAGAAGATATTTTTTAAAACAATTCCCCACCAAATTCAATTTTGTCTCCTTTTAACCATAAACCATTTGGTTATATTTCTTTTTCCATACAAAATAATTACCAACAAGCATTACCAACTTGTATTCCAGCTTAACCAATATGAATTGATATAATTTCTCTCATATATGATAAGAAATTTTTATAAAAGAAATAATTTTATTTATATTATTTGAATATTTAATTTAATTTAAATTTATAGCTAAAATTATATGTTTTAATTATCAATTAATCATGAAAAATAATAAAAATAAATAATAATATAGGTAAGTATTCTTCAAATAATTTGAACCCAAGATGATTATAATTAACAAATTATGAACTTTGCTTATTAAATATTTAAAGAAATAAATGAGATTATTAATATCATAAAATTATTTCTTATCCATCTAAATTTGTAAAATTCATTGATTACATCTTAGATCATTGCTTCATTAAAATAAGAAATATCATTTCATATAATCATTCTTTTTTGTTTTTTATTGAAAACAAATTTGATAAAAAATTATTACCTTGTAATCTTATTCATAATTTGATCTTTAATTTTAATTAAGTAGATTTGGATATCTTGTATAATTATTAGCTGATATTATAGATTGATAATTGTTTGAATTTCAGATTGATATTTCAGTTTTTTCTTCATTTTTTTAATAGCAAAGATGTATATAAGGTAAATGATACTTAAAAATGATAAAAGGGAGGTCAGAAATTAGTTTATTGTTCAAAATTAATATAAGTTTATCGTACTTGTAATAAAAACTTAATTAATAACTAATTCTTAATCTTAGAATTATAATATTACCAGAGCTTTTCATCTTAGATGACTCAAATAAGTCTTTAGACCTTTAATTATTTTGATTAGTGCCTTCAATACTAATCAATGTTGAAAGAGTTAGAGTAATTATTTAGGGAAATATTCTCTCTAATTTTTTTGATGTTGTTAAATGAACGATAACATATGAGACTAACAATTTAAAGACATAGAAAAAAGAACTAATACATTTAAAAGCAAAACATGAGGAATTTATGCATTCTGCTTATTTTTTAATAGTAAAATTGATCTTAATTATTACCGAAAAATTGTTAAAATAGTCTAAATTAGAGTGGCAAGCCAATTAGAAATAGAGAATAATTTTAACCATAGAAATAGAAAATTCTCAATAAGATGATGTATTTTCTTGAAAAATTCCTTAATCCTTTCATCTTTATACCTATCAAATTTTCAGCATTCCTTTTAATTGATTAAGAATATATTCCTTGATCTAAGAGTAATCAATTTGAATGGATCATTATGATATTATTGAAAATGGAAAAACTTGAAAATACATTAATTAAATAATTTAGAAGGTCATAGCGAGGCTTTCTGTTCGGTCTGCATTTCTCCTTATAGAACTACTTTAGCATTTTGTAGTTATGTTAACTCTATTAGTTTATGGTATATAAAACATGATTATAAAAAGGCTAACTAAATGGTCATACTACTATCTTCTCAGTATGCTTCTCTCCTGATCAAATTATATTACCATCTTGTAGTAGAGATAACTCTATCAGATTATGGTGATTATATAGGATAATAATAGGCCAAATTGAATGTTCATAATAGTCAACTTGCTAAACTACTGAAGAAATTAAGACAGAAAAGGAAATTTAACTTAAAGATAATAGTTTTAAAGATTAGGTGTCATAAATAAAACTCAACTTTTATAAGACATTATCTCCAAAGTATCTATTTCTTAATAATTTATACACTTCGAATATATTTATTCTCCTTATTTCCCAAAGAAAAATATCTTAGCATGAGGAGCATAAATCTTGAAAGGAGAATTTTTCAATCATTAAGGAGTAGATTTAAGATAATTTTTCAAATCTAAAGGAAGTTGATTCTTAGGATAGCCAAATTGAAAGGAGTTAATTACTAGAACATTAATGACCAGAATATTTTAATTATATGATTAAAATTAATGTATATTTTTTATTTTAATGATTACACTCTTAATTTTATTGTATTGGTTTAATATGATGTATATTTAAAAATTATTTGTATTCGTAGTTTTTTAAATCAATGAATTTTTAATTACCTAAAGAATGATTGGAATATTATTTCAACTCAGAATATAAAAACCTTACCTAATTTCCGCTTGATTACTTTTATTTTCATTGATCGTCCTCTCGTAAAAGGGGATATTTCTCCCGAATACCCCTGCTACTGTTTTAATACCTTTTAAAGTTAGTATATCAATATTTATATCTAGATAACGATAATGAGGTATTATTAGACAATCTTCCCTACTAGTATTAATTAATATCAAATAAAATTTCATTATAGTAATTGCTGAGTAATAAATTTTAGAAAAGTTTATGGTAAAAATCATATGGAGGGATTGTAGATAGTCTTTTGAAAAATTGCATTCGAACTTTAGCGTATTTTGAATAATGTGAAGTTGATATAATTATAATTTTACCCTCTATATACAAGAAGGTGAAGATCTATTGATGTAGGAAAGTATTATTTTTTCATTTATGCACCTTCACATTAGCCATTTTTTCATTTAAATAATAAGATTAAGGTTTACCCAAATTAATATTTTCCCATTTTTAATATAAAATAAAAATACTTAATAGTCATACTTCCAAAAATAGGGAGGAAGTCTTATCATTTGAATAGGCGAGAAAATTCTAATTTTAAAAAAGCATACATTTTTTAATTACTTTGTTGGTAACGAAACAAATATAATAATTGCTAAATTCAAAAATTCTAATCATTAACATTTAATTTAATCATCGAAATCGATATAAATATATCTTAAGTAAATCAACCTTAATTTAATTTTTTAGAAACCTAAACTAATTCCAGGAATATTAAAAATTAATATTTTTACAGGAGCTATAAGTTTGAAAGATTTTCTTCTAATTTTAAGGAATAGTACATAAAATATTTGTTTATGAACTCTTTAAGATTATATTGAAGATTAATAATATATAAATCAATTAATTTATATATTGAAAATTGAAAATATTTAAATTCTATATGCATGATCCTTATATTAAAAGAATGAAATTATTTGCTGTAAATAAATTATAAAGAGATTTTGAATTGGTTAAAAAATTTTCATGGTTTTAAAAATTTATTTACTTTATACCACTATATTTGATTAAGCTATTCTATTAATTTTTGGTTCTAGGCTTTAGTTGATAAATTTTACATGAGTGCTATATGAATTAATAAAATTAGGAACGCTTAAGAATAAAATAATCTTTTTTTCTAAATATTATATATTATGTTTTTGTTTTGAAGAACATCAGTCTTAAATTGTAAGAGCTGATACTTTTAACTATTTCTACTTAAATTTTTTTCCCCTATTCTAATGGAGACAACTAAAAATAATAATCTACTCTTATAAAATAGATATGTAATATAATTTTTGAGAGAAGATAGTCAAGATACTTTTTTATCAATTAAAAAAATTGATTAATATTTTTTCAATATGTTCAATAAAATTAGTTATCTTCAGAAAAAGCTTCAAATCACCTTTAATGGCTAGTATAAAAATACTAAAAAAGATGGTAAATGGGATATATTTTATGAATTTCCTAAACAATAGATGTAAATTATTCAAATATATTAGTGGGGGTGGATTATATGGTAATGGCGTGAAAATTGGTAAATGGATTGAAGTTGATGAAAGAAGCGTGTTAAATTATATTGTAACTTATAGTGGAGAATATCGTAATGATAAAAAAGTAGGTTTATGGACAACTTTAAACAAACAAAGTGGTATTGAATAATTGTGGTAATAATATAATTAATTTTAATATATTAAGTGGTTCAGCTAATTATGATGATGATGGTACAGAGATTTTTAAAAATGATGAGTAATTATTGTTATTAGATATTAATAGAAAGTCAAAAATTTTGTATATTGGAGAATTTAGAAATGGAAAAAAAGTAGGTAGATGGGATATTTTATCTTGGGATTCGAAAAATGCTAATTTTGAGTAAATGTAAGTATCTAAAATTTTAATTTTTTAGTGGAGGTGGTTTATATGATGAATAAGGAAGTGGGAATAAGATTGGAAATTGGATTGAATTTAAAAAAGGCTATAAAAATAATTCATAAATCACTTTTAATGGTGAATATAATAATGGTAAAAAGGTTGGTTTATGGAAAACGTATAAAAAACGAAAAAATTTGAAAATATACAATTAAATATTTCAATTATGGTAATCAATATTATTTATCATTTAGTGGCTGTAGTAATTATGATGAAAATGGTATAGAACTTTATACAAGTGATAAGTAAAAATTATTTTTAGTTGTGATTAGAAATTTAAATATTTTCTACCTGGGAGAATTTATGAATGGGAAAAAGATTGGAAGATGGGGTATTTATAATAGATGGAATAAGAAATAAGATTTTTATAAGATGTAGAATAATAAAAATGATAATTTATATTTTTTATAGTGGTGGTGGGTCATATGATGAAAAAGGTGATGGCAATAAACATGGGAAATGGATTGAATTAAGTAATTAATTCGGATTTTACAGAAACTTAATTTATTGGGGAGAATATAAAAATGGAATAAAAGTTGGGGGGTGGGATATTGGGTATAAAGGTAAGCTTGAAAAGGTTTATAAAAAGATGTAACATATTTGAAAAATATTATATTGTATTAGTGGTGGTGGAACATATGCTAATGGAATGAAAATAGGTAAATGGATTGAATTGAATGAGTAATATTAAGAAAAAACAAAGAGCTAATACTATTAATGTCATGATGTTTTTGAGATTTATTAAGGAAATTATAAATTTGGTAAAAAATTTGGGTTATGGGAAACATTTAAAAATTAGAATTAAATAATTAATTTTTATATATTAAGTGGTTCAGCAAATTATGATGAAGATGGTACAGAGATTTTTAAAAATGATGAGTAATTATTGTTATTAGATATTATTAGAAAGTCTAATTTTTTGAAATTAGGAGAATTTAGAAATGGAAAAAAAGTAGGTAGATGGATTATCTTTTTTAGACCTTATAATAATGATAAGTTTTAATTAATGTAAATATAATAAAATAAAATATTTTATTTAGTGGTGGTGGATTTTATGATACTGAATGTGAAGGCTGTAAAATTGGAAATTGGATAGAATTGAGTGATGAATGTTAAAAAAGTACAAATAGCACAAAATACCAAATTTGTCAAGGGGATTATAAATTTTATAAAAAAATTGGCTTATGGAAAAAATTCAATGTTATTGATAAAAATGTTTAATTGTGGTAATAAAATAATTAATTTTAATATATTAAGTGGTTCAGCTAATTATGATGAAAATGGTACAGAGATTTTTTAAAATGATGAGTAATTATTGTTATTAAATATTATTAGAGCTTCTAAAATTTTGTATATTGGAGAATTTAGAAATAGAAAAAAAGTAGGTAGATGGGATATTTTGTTTGGAAGATCTTTTGAAGAGTTTATAAAAATGTAATATATGAAATCTTATGTAAAAACTTTAGTGGTGGCGGTTAATATGATGAAGATGGTAACTTTAAAATTGGTCAGTGGATTGATTTGATTGATTCCTTTGGATAAAATCGATAAGTCATTTATAAAGGTGAGTATTAATGTGGTGAAAAAGTTGGAAAATGGAATATTGTATATGTACCGGTGGTTGGTAAAACACATAATATAATGTAATTATAAGCAATTATTGTATAGTGGTGGTGGATAGTACGATAATAGCATTAAAATTGGGAAGTGGACAGATTTGAGTGATTCTTTTACATCTAATAATGCAATTATGTATAAAGGAGAATATAAAAATGGTAATAAAGTAGGTCTTTGGGATATTTTGTTTGATTGGATGTATTTTGATAAATTAAAGATAATGTAAGATATGAGAAATTTTATATATCTTTTAGTGGTGGTGGATTTTATGATAAAGAAGGTTATAGTATAAAAATAGGGTAGTGGATGGAGTTATCTGAATAATTTACTAAGTTTTCTTAAATTATGACAATTGGTGAGTACAAGAATGGTTGAAAAGTTGGTACCTGGGATGAGATATAAATTTAATGAGAAAGCCATCAAAATATCATTCTATAATTATTGAAAACATTAATATCATTATAAGAATTAGTATTTTTTATAAGTTTAGTTGATTAAGAAATTATTAATTATAGAAAATTTAATCTATTGAAAGTTTGCAGAGGTTTTAATATTATTTTTGTTTAGAATTTTTTTTTTATGCAGTTGCTGTAAAATTTTTTTTTTTTTTTTTTTTTTTTTTTTTTTTAAATAAAAA